TTTAGCACCTAAGGCACACCCTATAATTGATTTATTTGTTTACTCAATACTTTAAAGTACAAATAGATCTAGGAGACGCCAAGGGATCTACCAATATGCGGGATGGTCGCAATTCTTGCATGATCTCGACATATCCATTGATCCCAATATTATTTCCTGGTACGAAAATAACTGCCTGGTACACAACTATTTTAATTTTATATAATTTAGATTTTAATACAAGAAAAATAAATATCATAATTGTGGACCTCGCGGTCCAGCCAAACAAATAATTATAATATGGAAAGGTCGCCAAATACTGCGCTTTATGGATATATTCTTAAGAGTTTTGAGTCTTACATATTTCTGTAATTGCTTATGTTAATTTATTTACTGTAAATAATACTTATATTTGAAGCGGGAGAATTGAACGTTATTGAATGGGACGTTATGATAAATGTCTGCCACAGGACAAGCGGAACAGGATTGAGTTTTCCTACTCAGCTCTAACCAAAGACTCACTTCAACTGCGCATAGGCTATATGCCTCGCTGCATATTTTCATGCAACAAGGCTGTCTGTCTCACATATTAGGAGCATAGTAAAGCTGTTACATATTTAGCAGCAACTCAAAAACCACTTAATTTACGCGCCAGCCGAAGTTAAACGAAAGCCAAACATTTAAATACAACATTTCCACTTTGGGGCAACAGCTTCCCGATGCTGGCATCTTCAGCAGACAGTTTCATTTTTCGTTAATTGACGTTCCAAGGTGGCTTTAAAATGACGGAAGCCTAGTTGCACAGACTGCCAAAACAAAAAGAAGAAGTAAAACACTACAAATCAACTCAAAGAAATACCAAAAACCAAAATAACAACAAATTTGTAAAATAAACTTGGCGTTTTTATGAAGAGCTAGGCAAACCTTTGCCACCATTTGGTGCTGTTTGTTGTTAAACAACAGCAGCAGCTACAACAACAACAACAACAACAACAGCAACAAAAAATGCCCAGTCAAGCCTGTTGGGGGGGTCCACTTCATCCTGAAGTTGATTACGTCTTTGTCGCTGTCGCTGCTGCCATATTTTGTGTATTTTTTGGTATTTTTTTTGTTTTTACTATAGAGCAAACAATTTCACTTTCATCTTTACAGAGGCCTGGTACCGTTATCTCTGACCAGGCAACAGCTGCAAAAGTCGCATCGCAGTTAAATTTCTTTTTAACCCAAATAAACCAGTTGCCAGTTGGGCGAAACAAGATTTTTGTGTCTCGATAAAGATTGTCTGTATTTATGTTTTTACTGTTGATCTTTTTTTTCGGGTGGCTGATTGTGTCAGAGACCCAGTCCAAGTGCCATGCAAACACTCTAAACTGCATGTAGCGAGAGATCGGCAGCAGAAAACACACACACACACAGCTCAACATAACACACATTTTTTGGGGCGTCAACTCGGCAGCGGCCTGTTTTCTGTGTGCGTGTGTGTATATGTGCGAGTGTGTGCGTGTGTTGGGTGTGTGCGCATATTTTATGCTATTTGGGTTAGACCCGACAGACTGAATAGTGGTCGGACCAGCGTGTTGGATCTATATACCATATGCATATACTATATCAATGTGTGCTCGAGCACAATAATAACATATATTCTGTTTTGAAAACTGGTTGGTCGCCTTTAACGAAAGACTTAGGCAACGAACTTGCTGGCTTCTTGATTTATTTTCATAACCTGTGCCCAGTTTCAGTTGGCTCAGGGTCAGCTACTTGATAACGCCTTTCACTTTGCACCAGGAAACGCATTCAGGAACAATACGTCTTTTGACAATTGTTCAGCTTTACAGTTTTCTTCCCAGCCTATACCCTACACAAAAGTCCATTCAACTTTCTGTTCAATTCTTGAGATTCTTGAAATTTGTAGAATTAATTATGATGATTATGATTATCTTCACAAAAATATCACGCTAAATTGATTAATGGACAGCGATTGAGAAATAAGCAAACGAGCTGCAAATTAAATTACCAAGTATAATTATCCCATTTCGACTGGCAGATCAGTCCATATAATATTTCTTTATAAGCTCACATTTCAAATAAACATAAAACTGAACAACAACAAATTTGTGGCAAACTTCTTTTCCAGTTAGCCGGCGAGGGGGCATTCAAGTATTTTAACCTTGAACTCGCTTTGCTGTTTGTTCGCTTAATTGAGTTAATTTTATTTTATTTTTTTATGCGTTTGTGAATTGATTTTAAAGCCGTTCTTGGCGCAGCCTCTTCGGCTTTCGATTTATTTTGGTGTTTTGAGTTTTTATTAGTTGTTTGCTTTACTTGCGCTGTTTGCAACTAATTATTGACTTCATTTGATTGCTAATCAATTCCTAGTCGATAGCAAACTAGATATGAGAGAGCTTCCTGACTTAAGTGGAAGTTTAATTCATTTTTAACAGCAAGAATTTTAAGTTGAGGTTATTGTAGCAGACATTTTTTCTAAGCATATTTGGCAGTTCTTGATAAAGTAGATTCTTTGGTTCTTCCTGCATTTTATACCCTGAACCCATTAAAAATCAATGGAAGGGTATATTGTATTTTTTGTGCAAAATCCAAATGTATGTAACAGGCAGAAGGAAGCATATCCGACCCCATAAAGTATATATATATATTATATTCTTGATCAGCATCAATAGCCGAGTCGATCGGTTCGTATGTATGAACGCAAGGATCTCAGAACATTTACATATTCCGATTTGATATTTTTTAGCTTTCTTTAAAAACGACTGAAACAATTGTTTATTTGAATATAAATTAATTTATATTTAATACTTTAGTAATTTATTGATTTATTTAATAAATCATTATTAGCATAAACGACTACTAAACAATCCACAAGTAGACAAATCGAATAATATTCCCATTTCTGTTTTGCCTTGCATTGACTTTTTTTTGTAAATAATGTTAAATGTTAAACATAAAAATAAATGGAGAAAAATGATAAATATAATAATAACATAATATATAACTAATTTATTTATTTATTTTATAGCAATAATTATATTATATTTGTACCCTTTTTACCTTCTGCTAGAAAAATGTTGTCTTAACCGTTAATTTAGCTAATCTCGAATTCCTCATCTATGTAGCTGACCTTACACGCACGCAGATTTTGCTTAGGCAATTTTCGAGTGCGTTTCAGATTCGTGGGCATTAGCATAACATGGCATCTGAGCTGTCTGCAAGTAGCCAAGCGCTCATCATTAATCATAGTTATTTGTTTTTTGTGCAGTGCTTTTAAAAGAGACTCTGAAAACGTGCCAACGGAAGCGCAAATCCGCTGCCTATCAGCCATGTCAACTAGCCCAGCAGCTGTCCAACTGCTGCTCGGCTCGACAATCCTTGAGACGGCATGCATAATTATGCAAAGCATTAGAATTTGCATTGAGACAGAGCTGGAATTCCTCTCAGCTCATTCGCTTACCTGTTTGTTTTTTCTTTAACCTTTTTTTTTTTCTTAATATTCATGAGCATGCTAATTGAATCACATTTATTTATAGGCTATTGGAAAAGAGCAGCATGCGATCATATAATCGAGCTCAATTTGAATTTCTTTGTGATGAAAACTCAATTTTCGAGCGTCTGACAAAACTGAAGAAATAAAAGTTTCACTTTCATTTCGCGCTGCACGCGTTTGTCGAAGATGCCCAAGAGAAAAAGTTGTTAACACAACGAAAGACCTTTTAGAGGTTGTTGCTGTTGTTGTTGTTCATTTGTTGTTGTTGTTGTTGTTGTTGTACTGGTGCTATTTGATGTTTGTGTGTCGTGCCAGGTAGTTTTTGGAACGATTACCTAATCATGACTTGATTTTTTGTTTCTGTGTGCCTCGATTTGGTTTTCTTTTTATGTTAATGTTAACACAAAGCGGCAACCGCATTGACATAATTTGATTGCCATGGTTTACATAATTTTGCCCGAGAGAGTGCAGCTAATTTATAGATCTTCGGCCTAAATTTAATTAACGGCTCAATTCACAGCCAGCTGCAAACATTAGAAAGTTTTTCGCGATTTGCTGTTAATCAATGCTGAAATCTATGCAAATCGCAGCACAATTTGCACGGCTCTTACGCAACTCTTATCTCAATGAAATATATGCAGGTGCACAACATATTGATAAATATATATATATATGCTAGATCTGCACGACATTGTGGGGTGGCCTATGCAGCCTTGGCCGGCTGCATGTAACTTCTTTGGCTTAGTCATCCGGCGGCGTACAGAATGCAGCCAAGCAACTTGTAAAACGCTGGCAAATTAAGCACAAGTTGTACTGCCGCTGCCGCTGTTAGCGTCGACGTCGCTGCCGAGCCACTGACATTGTCTAGTTGACACACTTAAGTCACTTATTACGACGACGCGTTGTTGTAGAATTCTTGCTAAAAGTTTTGTCGAGTGCTTTACAGCCCAAAATACATAAAATTCAACAAAATTTTTAAACATTTTTCGTTGTTGTTTTTGTTGTTGTTGCTGCTGCTTGACATTTGTTTATTGACTTTGTCAAGGCTTAGCCGGCGCACAGATGAGCTTTAAATGTGATATTTTATGTAAATTTTGCATATTGCATGCAAAATGGAGCAGTTGCGTAGGAGCTAAACGAAAGACTTAGGCAACGAACTTGGTCCGCAACAAGGCCAGGCCGCATATGCGGCTGCATTTGTGGAATGCCTGAGGAATTTCTGCCCAAGGTGAATTATGTGTACGATGCCAGGGTAGTAGATGAGTGTATATAGAAGATATTGGTTGGATTAAATGATGCTGATAGGCAGTAAGATATTTGTGCATAGATATGTGGATGGATGTTTATCAGATACTTTTTTGTCAGTTTTGTTTTTGTAAAATGAGTTTTTATAGAGAAATAGAAATCATACAAGCATTTGCTCTGAGATGTTGTTTATGCAAAGCTAAGCTGTTTTAAAATTAGATTTATTTATTTATTTATATTTCCTTTAAAAAATCATTTAAACAATTTTTGAACTCACCATAATATTAAGCTAAGTAGCAGTCGTTGCTTGTTCATTTTTAAGCAATCTACTGCTCTCTCTCTCTCTCTTTCTGTTTCTCTCTCTCTCTCTCTAGTTGGATCTCCCTGTCTTTTGCGATAGACACAACGCGTTTGTTTGTATTTAATATTACGACTTAATAATTTATAAATAAACTTATTAGCTCTTTGTTAATCAGAATAAATATATTAGGTATATTAAATTATATTTGGCACGTTTTGCAAATTGATAAACAATAAATATGATGTGTGTATGTTTGTGTGTTTGTTGTGTGTGTGTGTGTGAAGGCGCGTTTAATTTGAATTTGAATTTTTGTTATATTAACACTTGTGCGCTGAGGATAAATTTCGAGTAGTTGAAGTTGAAGAAAATTCAACAAACGTCAGACGTTGTCTTGCCAAAGAGATTGTAACCGATAATGTACGCAACGATTTGAATCCTTTCGGTAATTAGCATAACGCAGGCAATACGGAGCACAACATTGAGAGAACCAAAGCGAGAACGAGCCTATTTTGGGATCGATTTCAATATGAGCTTCAAACGGAACCGAACGCGGCGCAACTCTGGGGCGACGGCGCCAACGAACTAACCGAAATGCCGAAAACCCGATACCGATACCAAAGACCTTATATGTTAGACTTAAACACACTGCTTATAGGATAGCTGGGCCAGACGGAGCCCACAATTGCACGCTGGCACAGCAAAAACGTATCTGAAAGCTGGCTGAGCTGGTGCTCGGGCTTAAAAGGCAAAGCACACGAGCCCAAAACGGATGCGCGTCTCTGAGCTTCCACACATAAACCGGTAGACGTAGATAGAGCAGCAGAGAGAAGACAACAGAGAGTGAGAGAGAGAGAGAAGCGTTCAGAGAGTGCAGCTGGCTGAGAGACGTGAGCTTTTGCTGCTGCCGGCACAGCCTAGACAGCTCTCACGCACACAACAGACAGCTGTTCGCATGTGTGTGCGTGTGTGTGTGTGAGTGTGTGTTGTGCTATGGAGAAAGTAAAAAATGATGCGCCCAACACTCGACAACACAGCATGCGGACCCAAACGAAAGCAAAATCAGGCCAATTCACAAAATCACATGGGGCGCGCTTTTGTTTTCGTTTCCATTTCATTTTTTTGCGGTCAATTTTTGGCCAATTTTTAGTCATATTGTCGGCACACATATTTTCCGTCTATATACATATATATATATATATATATACACATACACATATATATGTCTGCAGTTTAATGCCCATATACATGCACAGATTTTAACACCTTTTGTGTGCACTTTTTCGGGCTTGTGAAAGGAGTCACGCGCTTTGTGTCGCTTATTATTATTTTTTTGTAATTTGCACAAGAAAAAAAAAGAAGAAGAAGATGAAACAACAACAACAACAACAACAACAACAACAACAACAGCAGCAGCAACAAAAAACCTGAGTGAAGAGGCAAATATTTATTGCTGTCAAACGAGTTATTCGCCAACGTCTAAGCTTGGGTTTTGTAGCTGGAGCTGAAGCTGAAGCTGAAGCTGGAGCTGGGGTTGGACTTGGTAACTACTCCTGCTGTGTGATGTAAGCTTGGCAAAGGTCTCGCTCGCCAGTGTTGGGCAATGTCTGGCTGGTATTTACATATACATATTTCTCATCATATGGCTTTTGATGGGCGTTAGCCAGCCAATCCAATTTGAATGTCTTTATAAAGTCTGCAGCTGGACATCCCCCAACAGCTGTGGCTGTGGCATAATTGAGAGTGCGCCTCATAGACATCTGCTAATCGGCAGCTCAAACACTTCGCTTAGTGATCGAATGCTAACGTCTTGGGCAAACAATTGGCGGCAAGTGGCAAGAGTTAATCATAAAATTGATTAGGGTTTGTCCAGGTGTCATCAAAGTAAATTTGGCTAATTAAAATCAGCCGAATTCGTTTAGAGCTTTGACGTGTTTGTGCATTTTACAACATTCGGCAAAGGCACAGCCCAACTCCGTCAGGCAATTACATTAAGCTCCACTCCTCTATGAATAGCAAACAAATTTCTGAGAAAAAGCCTATCTAGCCGCAGCACATCTACATATATTATTCTATAGCTCAACTCGTATCTTAAATATTTATCTGGTTTTCAAAAAGTGCACAGAACTTGCTGTTCATTTAGAAACAAATCAACAGCTTGTTTTGGCCACAACTTGAATTCATCGTTTTAATATTCACATAGATAAACAAAATACCTTTTAAATATTTAAAATAAAAAAAATAAAATAAGACTGCATTTATAGTTTAGCCTTGGCACAGTTCAGCTTTAATTTAAAGTCAGGAAACTCTGTAGAAATCCAAGCTATTTATTTTTTTTGCGTTTTAGTTAAACTTAAAAGAAACAGTTCCTCATGTGTTTTGGAAGAGCTTGTCACAGAATATTTGGTCTGCGGGCTCTGATATGGCATATTTTATTGAATACGTTTCCCAATCTAATTAATATTTATGTTTATTATTATTATAATTTTGGAAAGTTAACATTTAAATAGTATTATAATTATTTATCAGTGCTAGCTAGTGTTTTAATATTGTTATTACTAATTGTATACAATTATATAGAGATCCCCAAGACTTAATTTGTATGCAAGAAAATTTGTTAAATATAAACTGAAATCGGAACTTATTTTGTGAACTAGTTCCACAAATTTATCAAGGCAGTTCAAAAGTAGTTCAAATCGTCATAATGTTAAGCAGGCTTGTCGTAAAGATCGACTTAACATTTTAAACTGATAAAAACTTACAACTACCCGAACAAAAAGGTGAACATATTTTAATATTTGTATTGTCAACATAGGCAAATATTTGGCATCAATGCAGGTCAATGTATTTATGATAATTTTGCATAATGCCGCATTTTGTTCAAATTATGTTTTGCATCATTTTATGCATTTTTTTAAGAGCGCTCAGCAAGTCTCATAAAACCTCAACTTTCCAATCAAATAACAAATAAACAAACAGAGAGACAGCCGGACAGACAGTCAGACACAGAGTCTGAAAATGAGACAAGATGTGCACAATGTGAAGAGGCGCCTGCTTCATGGCTAATGGACGCCCCTCACATGACCTTGCCGGGGCCTTAATTTGTCACCTCAGCTGGCCGAAAATAAAGAAAAAACACGACAGATTTCAAATTACATTTAAATGAGCTGCCGCTCGCTTAATTACAGACGTTACAGTCAAATAGATACACATACAAATATTAAAAAAATGTAAAAAATATTAAAATAAAAACAACTTAGAGTACACAAGGCGCAGAAAACCGAACAGGAGATACCCTTACAAGCAATCTAACTAGCAGCCGCAAGCTGCATACTCTATACTCCGGCTCTGGTTTTTCTACTCTGCTTTCTGATTAACTCGGTGCACAAAGTGCGATCTTTATCAAATTTAGAAGCTTAAAAGTTATGTATACAATTGTGCATTAACCAAAGCGCGAGGATCTGCTTTATGAAATGAGTTGTGGATATAATAGGGAAAGGTATTGAAAAAATACAGTTACTTCTTTGGGTTCAAAGAGATGGACAGCTGTCGCTTGCTGGCTGTTGCATACTTTTGCAGAAAACTAATATACCCTTTCAGGTATGGGGCATAGAAATACCAACATGAGCTGTGGCAGTTCATCACGTGCTCTCGACACTCGTCTTCATTTTGTGTGTGCTTTTTGTTTCTGATTGTCTTTGTTTTTTTGGTGTTTGGCTTAAAGCGTCGCGGCTTTAGTAGCAGGAACCCAACAAAATTGTGGCTCTAAGCCATAAAAAACATAAGAAGCAGCATCAGCATCAGCAGCAGCAGCAGCAGCCACAAAAGCTGTTCGTTTGCTTTTTGTTATTGTTTATGGCTTTTATTGGACTCATGTGACCAACTGGCAACTTGTTTCTCTTTTTTTGTTGTTTGTTGGTTGTCCCCCAATTTATATTATTATTTTTTTTTTCTGTTACCAAATTCATCTACGTAAATATTATAAATGCACTGAATTGTCATAAATTATTTGAGCACTTGCTAATTATCAATACGGATATGAAGACGTCCGTATTTGGGCTTACAGATCTGGCTACGCGTTTTGCCAAATATATCAAATGGAAATGCCTTGATTCGATTTCATTTCATTTGCCAACTAATTTTATTCGCAGCGCTAAAATATTTTATGGCCCAGCGCCCAGCGACATCTCGTCATCTAGTTGAAATTTACATATTTCAAGAATAGTTTTGCCGGTTTAGCGGCCTGGCGCCCAAGATTATATAATTTGAACTTGATGGCGGTTCTTTTTCTATTTTTGCACAGCTTGTACCCATTAAAAAATGCTAACAAGCGGGTATATTCAACTAGGGTATACGTACGATACAGGCATTTCCTTGCGCTACCCTTGGGTGTTTATTGTTAATTTAATTATTATTTATTGCATATTTTATATTATCTTCAGATGGTTATCTTCATCCAGTTATCTTACTTTAACCCTTTTTTATTGTTTCTTCTACTATTTCATTTATTTCATTATAAATTTTCAGAAACATCTTTGGCTATGTGTTGGAAACTCAAACTACGTGCGCCTAATTCTTAGTAAGTTCCTGATCCCAATTTCAAAAACAAAGAGTTGGACTGGCCAAAGTCGAAGAACAGGAAAGAGCTTGTGCATAGTATTTATAGCTAAGCAGTTCGAAGAGTATGTTGCCCAGCTAAATACAGGGTATTCGTAGTCGCGCTCAGTTTGTTGCGTTCACCGTTTTCGTGGCCAGTTCTTCGTAACTGTGAAGTGGCCCATCAAGAATTGAATTTGGCGACTGAAGTATTCGCGTGCCTGGCACTGATACCATCATTCAGCGGCGCTCTCGGAACTGCGGTGGTTTGTGCCTGCCACGTCGTGTAGTCGGAGAGGTCCGGTTTGTGTGTTGATTACGTAAATATTCAAATAACAATTTTTAAATGATATTTGAAGCAAATATGTGCGCACACACGCACTCACAAGTGATTAAACACCGTTAGATGCCAAAAATGAATTCGTAAATAACAAAAAGCTGCCTCCGAAAAGTCAGTCAATTGTTCAATATTCAATATTTTGCATTTGACAGTCTTTTGAGCTATTATGTCAAAAGCTTGGCAAACTCTTGACTAGAGGGGGGTGGCTGTTAAAAAATAAATCATATGC